AGGGATGACACGAGTGTGTGCGCTGTTGGTATGAGGGGTAAACTTCCCAGAGCCTGGCAGTTGTTCACTTCTTTTGTACATTCTCAAAAATGTTATCAGTTTCGGCACTGAAAAGGCTGACACCATCGATGAGGAGGTCTTTGATATGGGCGCGGGTATTCTCTGCAAGGCCAGCTGGATGAGGTTCAGCCACTGAAAGCTGGTCAGTCAACACCTTTCGTTTGGTGACTGGAGGTTTCGATGTTGAGGCAGTCAATGTCAAATGTTTAGTCTTGTGAGGCTGAGTGGCAGGAGATAAAGCCAAAGTCGACATCGAAGGGGCCCCTTGTTCTTCGGAACAGGAGTGGGTTGCCGATGGATGTTGTTTTAGCACTTTGGAAACGGCCTTGTCCATGGCTCAGGAATCAGGCAAGGATTTGCATGTTGGTTGTGCTATAGATTTGCCTGGCTGAAGGAATTGTTCCCAAAATCTAAATTTAAGCCTGGAAAGGCAACTACGTTGCACCCAACGCCTGAAATGTTTGCAGTGGGGGCAGGAAGCGGTTTAATGACCTTCTCCAAGACAAAAAAGGCAGTTAGAGTGGTCATCAGAAAGGAGGATCTTATTATTACAGACCTATGCAACATTTAAATGGGCCTGAAGAGACCATGAACTGAAGATGGATGGGGAGGGGGACTTCGGCCCAAAGGCTAGAGCAAATAGTTAGGTAAAGAAAGAGTAATAAAATTATAAAATTATAATGGGGCTTTTTTCCCCCAGAGAAAAACTCACAGAAGCTACAAGCGAGGCTCTCAACGCAGCGGTTGAAAAAACAACAACACTGAAGGGTGCCAAGGTACACACATTAGGGAGGAGGGGCTTGTACTAATACTGTACATGTTTTCTGATTGCAGAAGCTCTAGAATATTTTGCCGAGCCTCCGTACATGTGCGGATCACCTAGAGTGTGATTAACAGAAATCACGAAGAAGGTAGAGAGTTTTACTTCTTTTTCTAACTAGAAAAAAATGGTCATGAAGCAGCACTGGGCCATTCTGCTGGCAATGAGGAATACTACCTTATCAGCTGATAATTGCAGTTTCCATTATTGCCTAAAGAAGTAGATATAATAAAAAAATAACAAGTCCTCTATCCAGAAAAATTTGAAGTCCAAAAAAGTATCCCTCCACTTTTGTGCAAGACAGCCCTGCAGAAGTGGCAAATGACATTCACAGCTTTTGTTATGCATCTCTTGATGGCTCGTTATGTTGAATCTGCTACTCTAAAATACCTATTAATTTTACTGTATCAGTTGTGGTTGTAAATGGCGATATCACCAGTCATGAATACTAAACTTTAATTTGAAGTTTCCTATATCTCCTCCTCATGTTCTGAGGCTCTCTAAAGATTCTGTTCAACCTGGAAAAGCCTTTGGGACCCTTGGGATGGGAGGGGGGGTAGTCTTAATATTGAAAAATCACTACTAGCAGTCTCTATTCCACTGAAACAGGGACTGCTTGTAGTGATTTTTTCAGATATTAAATCTCCTTCCCCATCCCAAGGCTCACAAAATCTCCCACAGGTTGAAAGAGATCCCCAGTGATCCTTGAAACTTGAGGGGGAGGAAATTTCTAATAAAATTTTTTGTTTGTCCTGGTGGCATCATCATCATTTTTACCATCATTGTTTTGACTGGCTGCCCAGGTTTTTTTTCTTTGGATATTCAGGGTTTAATGTTCTTTTGGATATCACTAAGCCTTGGTGAGTGGGGATGGGTAGATAGGGCTTGTTTTTAAATGTTGTTAGCCACCCAGAGTAGTGCCTTGGCACTAGATGGGCAGGGTATAAATGTGATGAATAAAATAAAATTAAAAAAAAACCCAAATATTGATGACTGGAGCTGCACATCATGGTTTCAGCCTATAATTAAATAATTAAAGAGAAACAGAGCTAGAAAGAGAAATCATGCCTTACTTTTTGGCCCTCCAAATATTTTTGCCTAAAACTCTCACCAATCAATATGGTGATTGTTCAGGGAAAGTTGGAGCTGAATTCCAAAACATCTGAAGGGCAGCAGGTTGAAGAATACTGCTTTCTAGTATTTTGTAGAAGCAGACTGTATTCTGTACAGCCAGCCAGAGTATTCTAAATAATAAGCTCTCCCTGCCCTAAGACAAAATCATGTGCCAGCAGCTCAGCTACTTATTTTTGTTGTGTTAATTAACCTTGACAAAGCTCATAAATCATTTTTCTGTTTTAGAGAGAGTGACTATATTGAAGATGGTAAAATTTTGCTTGAGGGTATAAAGTAATTTTCAGAATGTACCATTTGTAATTCCACTCTTTCAAAAGGTGAATTAACTGTATTTATCAATTACAGGATGAAATAAACGTAGCCATATTCGAAATTTCAGTTAACATTTTCATTCATTCAGTGCCTGCAGAGAGCTCCTGTTGCTACATTCGTCTTTATGACAGCAGTGATCAAAACATACACTCTAAAAACTGTTGGTCAAAAAATTTTGGATGCATCAGCCCCAGGCAGCATAAGCCAATGTAAGGGTTGCTGGGGTTGATCCAACATCTGGAGGGCCACATTTTACTCACCTCTGCTTCAAGGCTGCTGTAAACTCAGAATAAGCCTAAAGCCCTAAGCAAGCATTGGTTGCCCAATCCTAGTTTCCCCTCAGAACTGTAGTGCCATGCTGAGTAATGGGAAGGACTTGTGGGAGCAAACTGGCAGATGCAGGAGAAATATTTATTTCTTCACCCTGCAGATGTTCTCCTGGCTCTTTTGAAACTTGTGGCGAAATCCAGAAATGGAAGGAGAAACATCTCAGAAACAATTTGCAGGGAGGCAGCACTAACATGTTCTCGAAAAATTGAGCACCCTTTAATCCTAATACTTAGTAACCAGTGGTGCCTTATATCTGCCTGCTTGCATTACCTAGGCAATGAGGAACTTTTTTCTCTCTAAGGCACACAAGCAGACACAGGGATGTGCACACTCAAGTAGACTAAACATCCTTTCCATCCATGTGCTAACAGCCGTGATAGAATAATGGCTCTTTCCCCTCAGCACAGCTGGATAACTGGGCTGTTGAGGGAAGTGCGTATGTCCCTCTAAGCTGCACAAGGAGCTATCATAAACTACTAACCCCATTCTAGGTAAATCGTGAGTTTCGGAGATTCATTTTTGGTCCTAGAGGGTGTAAAATCATAGTCAAGGGTGGGTATGAAAAGTAACCATGTTCTCTACTCACACAATAATTATTTATACATATAATTAAAAAAGCAAAGAGTTGGGAGTACACAGACCTGGCAATATTATAATCAGCCCCTTTTTGCAGTCTGCGATTAAGTACAGAACACTAATGCTCAAATGTGGAGCTTGGATTGCAAATGCAGACTTCTAGTCAAGTGCCTTGAGAATACTCTACTATGAATGTCAAGAGTGCAGAGTTTGTAACAGTGTTCTTGCATCTGTGCAACATTCTGTGTGAATCATGGAAACTGAAATATAGTTCTTGAGATGCTGTATTGACACTACATCCTACAGAGAATCGCAGATGTGTGTGTAACATATTTTTGCAGACTGATAAATTCATGATCAGTCATGGCATAAAGAAGTGATATGTGAGCCTGGTTTCATTTTTCATTGCTATCTCTGGTGTAGCAGTTTCCAGTGATAAATGAAAAAATGCTCTCTCTAGGATTCACTGAGAGATAGTGAAGTTTTTGTGAGGTAACCTCATCTTGATATTAATGTTCAGATATACGTACCAGAACTACATATTTTTAACATTTAAACTTGAAGAGGGTTAGAAAGTTCTGTTAGCATTTTTGAGACCTTGTGAGGAGGAGGAGGGCAAGAAATATTTCCTTCTGGGTATGGAGGAGGAGTTCTGGAAAGGTAAAGAACTTTACTAAAAAAACAATCAATTTCTTTCTCTCTCTTGGTCAGATGGAATGATGCTGCAAAGAACTTGGAATCATGCATTTCTCACAGTGCCATTTCTGAACAATGCTACATTGTGACAAAGCTTTGAAGCATGAAGTGTAACTGTGTATGTTAATTAAAAATACAACACAAACTAAATTGGGCAACTAAAACAGCCATGGTTTCAACCCAAATATGTACCTGGAATGAGGCTATATATTACTGTCTATGGGATGCATCACAGGGGCTCTGGAATTGTTGAAGGAGCACTACAGTGGAACCTCTACTTAAGAACTTAATCCGTATTGGAATGGTGTTCTAAAGATGAAACGTTCATAAGTTGAAGCAAAATTTCCCATAGGAATGCACTGAAAAACCAATTAATCCATTCCGGTTGTTTTTTGTTCTTATGTAGAGGCGCGTTCATACATTGAAGCATTAATTCCCAGTTAATCCGTACTCTACCACTAGGGGGATATATATATATTTTTTAAAAAAACCTAAGATGACCTAAGATTTAAAAAAGGGCAGGAAAGGTTTTTTCCCGTTCTTATCTTGGAGCTCCGTTCTCAAGTAGAAGCAAAATTTAGCGAACGGACCTGTTCTTAAGTTGAATCGTTCTTAAGCAGAGGTTCCACTATATTACTGCAGTACAGGAACTTATTAGATGGGCAGGTTCTATCACAATAGGAAAGCAAAGGCTGTTCACCCGCCCATTCCAACAACAGACAACTACTGTTGAGGCCACCTGGCTTATTTTCTAAGAATCCTGATACATTCTTAACACCAGCCAGCTAAGCCTTTGATAACAGCTTTTTACTATAACACGTGTGTGTTTGTGCGTGCGCGCGCAGAGTAATGTGATAGGCTGAGATGGGTAAGGAAGCAAATAGATATGTGACAGAAAACAATGGGAAGGAATGACAGTTATAAACTAGCAGATTATATCCTTACTGTATACTTAAATCAACACCTGTATCAACACTCAAAAATAAAATCAACATCTAGAACTTCTGTTGTGAAGACTGTACTGAAACATTGCATAGTTTTTCTTTTCCTCAAAACGTTGTAATTGACATACCTCTGAAAACTGAAATAGTGCTGATTCATCATTTTCTTGTGAATCTGTGGGAGCATCTGGTTGTGACGGGCTTGAGGAAATCTGAAGCAAAGAATTTTTTAAATAGCTATTCAAACCATTCAAATCTGCATTTATATTTCTGTGAAACATGAGAAAACCTCTTGGACTTGTACCTCATTAGGACATAAAGTAGTATGAAAAAGCTGCTTTCCCAAATGACTAATAAATGATAAACTAAGAAAAGCATGAATGTGACTTTCATTACACAAATGTATCCAAAATTCAGTAACAAGGAAATGTTATAAAAACAATACCAAAGAAAGTATCACATAGCTAGTAGCGGAGAGAAAAGCTTTGATTTGTTTTGTTGACAGAATTATATTAATATTCCAGCCATTCTCAGTAGCTGCTCTCAGGCTTTGGAATGCACTGCCCTGAAAAGCATAAAACTTCATACAAAACTCATTCATTGGAATACAAGTCTTAAACTTGCATACTTAACTCATCAACTGAAATATACACCATTTACAAGCTCTTAACCTTGGCTGGCTCATGCCAATTATCCCCAAATTTACTGACAGCAGACAAAAAAAAAATTAAAAAGCAGAAAGATAAAATAAAATAAAACTACAAACTAATGCACTGAGGTTGCAATTCTATACAGATTTAAACAAACAAACAAACAAAAAACCCAAACACTTAATCCGGTGGCTGAATTCCACTTCTCTCTATTGGACCATAAGTCAAGCCTACAAATATTTATGCTGTTATTTCAGCGTATCATCAATAGTCAAAGAAAGAGCTTTATGCTAGCACTGTAGTTAAATCAGGTGACAGAAACATTTAGAATCTTGATTCAGATCTGCAAATTCTTCCATTTCCCATCAGGTGCATATGGCCTACCACTGCCTCTAGTAGAGACCAACAACAACATCACACTTTCCCTAAGGTTTCAGATTTTTTCATTTTTAGCAAATGACTACCGGTATTTGCCATTTCTTCCAGCCATCTTTTTACAATTTTCAAAGGAGGTGAGAGAGTAGCAGCATCTTGTAGACCAAGGAGCAGCAAAACTGGTCCCCAGATTCACAAAAGTAACCCACCAGTAGTACACAGCTATGGCACTTCTCTGCCACTACTAACAAAAACTACTTTTACCTTTTACTGTAATTTATAATGTCCATGTTACAAATGCCATGTAAACACAAGCGTGGTTGATACTGCTTTGTGCATCAAACAAACAGCTTTGTAACTTTTTTGTTTATTTCACGGTGAACAGCCATTAGGTCGGAGTCCCATACTGAACTCCACAAAACAAGGAAAGAGAAACTGGGCATATGATTACACTACACTGAACTTCTATAATGTAAAGATCATGAGCTTTGAGCCAGAAATCCCTAATTATGAAGTCAGCTCAGCCATAAACTCACTGTGTGGCTAGAGACTCAATTCTCTCAGGTTGCATATAGAAAAAAAGTGATACAAAGGCCCTTAAGGACTAACCTGTAGGACTTTAATAACTAACACATTTTTCATGGCATAATCTCTCATGGACAACGATCTACCTCATTAGATATAGGAAGAATTTCCTCCCGCTGGCTCAACTTGTGCTCTCTCCACACACAGGCATAGTTGTGGGTTTGTACAAATTATGAGCAAAATGATTAGATAGAAATTACATTCAAATGGTATAGACTGTGATGATTACTGTAAATTTCAGATTTACCCACAATCATTACATCGCTCAGTGGGCAGCACCGGTAACAAGACCAAACCCCTGGCAATGTAACAATTTGGGTTGTCAATTCAGTATAGGCAAAATCAATGAAGAGTCCTGTGGAACTTCAGAGACAAAACAATTATTATGGCATAAGCTCTCTCTTGTATCTAATAAAGTGGATCCTAGTCTGTGAAAACATATGCTATAATAAATGTATTGATCTTTAAGATGGTCTATGGCTTTTTTAAAAAAAATATCCTTGACATTAGTAAGCTAATTAACATCTCTGAGTGGTATAGAACCTCATTATCTTAGTTCAGGTGGCAAACGGAAATTCTGATGAACTGTCATTTAAAAGAACCTAGAGTTTTTCCTCTCTGAAATCCCTTGTTTCAAGAATGGCCACTAAAAAAACCTTCAAAAGGGTCATTCAAGCATTAATACATCAGATGAAGTGAACCCCAATCCATGAATGCTTTAGCCATAATATTTGCTACCCAGATAAAAGACCTATCAAATAGCCGCAAGATTCTATCACATCACTATCCACTGGAACTTCCTTTCTTTCCTTTAATGAAAGGAATAAGCAGGAAAGATCACTGTTTACCTCTTGTGCAGTCAAGGCATGTTCGCCTGCTAAGAGCAACATACTGAGGCCTCCCATTTGCGTAGGATCTGTGAAAAAAGAGAGATGAATATGCACAGGTTTCATTCAAAATGCTGATTTCAAAGTAAAAGAGTATTTCATGAAATATTATGAAAGAAAATGGATTTAGCCTTTCCCAAAACAACTGTCTATAATTATGTTTTTCCCTTGCTAATTTGTACAAGAAGAAAAATAAAACAAGACTTAAAACAATATACTGTACACTCAAAAATGTATTGCTGGAGGGAAAACTTTGTAATACTGTACTGATTACACAAAGCTATTCATACAGACAGGTCTATAGATATTATAATATACTGCAGAAAAGGGATGCCAGTGACTTGAAACTCAAACAGGTGTTTTCTTCTATATGACTTTCACTTTATGAAAGAAAATAACAGCTTTCAGTTTGTACCACTTCCTCTACCACTGCAACCCCATCACTTTTAGCCATGTAGCAGAGGTGGAAACACTGCTCTGTTCCCGTGATTTAGAACCATACACATTGACTTCTAATCCTTTCTTCCAATCTTCCTCCCTAATGTGGAAGTCATGACTGGTGGGTTAAAAGAAGAAAAGAGCAGGACCAAGAATATAACTCAATTTTCTTCTCTCATACAATGACAACCTTGCTGAAGAGAATACCACAAAGTATTAATTCATTTATTTAACCTGCTGCCTTTCTCCTGGTGCTGGGATCTTAAGTACTGTATTTTTCGCTCCATAAGACGCACCTTTCCATAAGACGCACCAATTTTTAGGAGAAGAAAACAGGAAAATATAATCTGTTTTCTTCACTCCATAAGACACACAGACTTTCCACCCCCCGTTTTGTGGGGAAAAAGTGTGTCTTATGGTGCGAAAAATACGGTAACTTATGATGAAACTAACAAGCAGTACCACTAAAACACTGATATCCATTGGTACACTGCAACACGAGTAGGCTCACTGAATCAATAGAACGTACAAAGGAGCTGACTCACTAAATCTCCACTAATTCAGGGGGCCAACTTAGTTGCAACCTACTACTGGATTTCAGCCAGAGTTATTGAAAATATAACTAAATCAGCTGAAATGTTAAATCTAAAGACTCACTTAAAATACTATTAAATTTTTTCATCAAAAATTAAAGGAAATAAGCTCACCTAATTAAAATCCCTGTCACTGGAAGAGTTAGTTCCTAAAGCCCTGATTTAAGAAAAACTGCTCTTACTGTTTTTGTTTTCTTATCCTCCCCACCCCAACATGATCACTGAACAAATGTGTGCATTTATCTATCATCTGTAATTTGCAGATTCCTTCCAAGCCCACTATTTTGGGGAGTGGGGGAGGGAATTATGTACACCAAGGTATATACTTTTTTGTCCTCCCATCACTGCTGACAGGGGTCTAACTTCAACTATGCACATTTTCTCTCTCTCTTGTGGTGCCGCCCACACTACCCAAAGGTCTCTGGGTGGCTTACAACATTTAAAATACAATTTAAAATATATATATATAATTGCCATCAGACCCACAGCTAATATTATTTCAATTAAAAGCCTTCTGGAACAGGAAGGTTTTGACCTGGTGCCGAAATGTCATCAGCGTCGGCGCCAGACGAATTTCAGTCGGGAGGGCATTCCATAGTCTGGGGGAAGATGCCGAAAAGGCCCTTTGTCTACAAGCCGTCCCTCTTACCTCCTTAAGGGACGGCTCTTTCAAAGGGGCCCCCTGGCTAGATCTTAACTGCCAGGTAGGTTCATATGGAAGGAGGCGGTCCTTCAGGTATACACTTGACATGTATATATACAGATCTGGCTCTGAAGATCAAGGCTATTAAATACAGAGTATGGTAAATGTTACCAGACATTTTTATTTAATTAATGAGTTTCTTTAGATAAATTCCCCCCAAAAGATGCTACTAATAAGGCTAGATAGATTTCAATACAGTATTTTAAAATAATATTAATAAGGACACAAAAGCAAGCTCATTCCAAGGTATCATTCAAACCATTTTCATACTAAACACAGATAAATTTCACAGAATCACAGGTGGTAAAAGGCATACAAAAAGTTGTGTCTATGGCTAGAAAAAACACAATACATACATTACATTTTTTACACAGATATGTGTATTTTGTATTGTATCCACTAGTACAAGTGTAGCCCATGAGCCATCTTCAACCCACTAGGTCGCAAATACGGTCTTAGCACCTGCCAACATCTGCCATTTATAAGAACATTGTTTTCCTTCCAAAAGTCCTCTTACATCCTCTAGGAGACCTGCTACATATTAAGCAGCCCTGGCTTTTGGCAAATTAAAAAAAGGGGGGGTACTGGGGTACAATGGGCCACTAGAGGGCACAAAAAGCCTTTATGAAAGAAAATATTTTGGGGGTGGGTGGATGCAGGAGCAGAGGCATGTTGGGGGGATCCCTCATACCAATGGAAGATGCCCATTCTTGCTGTACTCTAAGATAACAAAATGGGATAATGTTACAACTATAGCTGGAATGAACAGACATAAAGTATAATAAGGTCACATGTGAAAATGTGTTTCTGCATATGGGGAATTTCTCTCTCTCTCTTTTCCTATACCTTAGATAAACTACCTAAGGAAAGTAATCTGTAATAATCTCTTTAAAATGTGTAAAATGAGACACAAAGAAATGTTCTACTAGCAACACACACCATAAGGCATTAAATTTGTAGAAAGCGAACTTCTACAAAATGGTAATACAGGAGACCAAATAACTCTAACCCTGAAGCATCCTCTTACAAAATGTCTGTGGGATTCAACCCATTCTAATACCCACTGGTATTATAAAGCAGACACATATATCTTCTGGGTCATGCAAAATGCAGTGTAGCCTCATCAATCTGAAATAAAATAAATCTTCTGATATTAACACCTGTTCATTCACTGTTAGCGTTTACAAACAGATGCTGTCTATTGCTGCCTGTCAAAGGATGGTAGGCAGATATTCCAACTTTTCCTTCGTAACGATTTAGTGCAGTAAGAAAAAGATTTGAGATTGTGGTGGGTAAACCCAGGAGAGCTACAAATGGGAAATAAAGCTGTCCCTATCATAAAATTCCATGAACAATGAAAATGAACTGTATTTTTTTTTTAAAGTAAGATTTCACTTGGAAGCACCCTGGCTGTAGGCCAGAAACAGAATAACTGATACCAACAGACATTTCAAACTCACCTGCCATTGCAAAGTTCAACTGAGGCATTTCTTCTGTCTTCAACAACTTTTTTGGACCTGGCAAATCTTTTGCAGGTTCTGATGGGAAAGCCCACAGCTTTTTCCGGTTAGTAACAGTAGATGACTGGGTTTTCAAAGGTTTGTTTGTAGGTGGACACCACTTGTACCCAGGGTTTGCTTTCATAAATGCATCCTTGTACTATGAAGAGGAAAAGTAATTTGTACTAAGGCACAGTAGAAGGTTTTGTATGAAACAATTAGAAATCCATATATATATATATATAGTGCAACTGTACAGACATTCAGTTAAAAGTATGTCTCATTTTATGTAAGTCAGCTTATTCTCAGCTAAACATTCAGGAGACTGGCATCAGTTTTTGAAATTTCGTTAAACCATGTTATTGGAGCTTGGAAAAGTTCTTTTTTAGACAACTCCTAAAAGCTCTCATTCAGTATGACCATATACAGTGGTGCTTCGCATAGCGATCGCTCCGTATAGTGATGAAATTGTTTAGTGACGCTGTTTTTGCGATCGCTTTGCGATGGTCCCTATGGGGAAATTTCGCTTTGCAATGATTGCAGGGAAGCGATCATCGCAAAGCCCCCATTTTTGGCCAGCTGATCGGCGGTTTCAAAATGGCTACCGGGTAAACAAAATGGCCACCTGCTGTTTTCAGGCATGGATTCCTCGCTTTAGAGGCACCGAAAATGGCAGCGCTATGGAGGATCTTCGCTTAAAGGTGAGTTTTACGCCCATAGGAACACATTAATCATGTTTTAATGCGTTTCTATGGGCTTTTTATTTTCGCTTAGTGATGTTATCGCTTAGCAGCAATTTTTTCTGCATGAATTAACATCGCTAAGCGAGGCACCACTGTATATTGAGTCTGAATATGGATTTAAATTACGTTAACTGAATGTATGTTCAAAAATGCATGTTACCTCCTTAATAATTAATTGATGTCAATTCTGACTTACTTTGCTGTCAGCTGACTTACGGCAATCCTTTCTAGGGTTTTTTTAGGTATACAGTAGTCAGAATTGGTTTACCATTCCTCTGGGACTACCCTTGGGATAATGTAGCTTGTCAAAGGCTACACAGGATGGCTCCCTTCTTGCAAGGTCTGTTGGAGAACTGAACTCACAACCTTTAGTTGTGTAGCCAGATACCTAACTCAATGAGCTATCCATCCAGCTGCAAGATGTCTTATTTCCAACAATCAAAAAAGATTTCTTATTTACAACACAAAAAGATTTGTGTTGTCATATCTTTTGTGTAATTTATCTTACATTCTCATTGGCGTGTTCTCTTATTTTAGGTAGCTTATTTACATTAGACACTAACAAAAGTTTCTTCCTTGAAGCATACAGTACTTAAAATCTGCAGCATATTGCATTTTTCACAAAAAGGGAAATGAAAAGACATATCCTTCCGGAAAAGATCAGAAATAATGTTTTCTGTCCCTCTTACATTCTTTATTCTCTGCAGCTGCCTTTTAAGAAGACTAGTTTAAGAGTCATTTCTTCTAGCGTTTCCCTTTATTTTCTGTTTAAAATGCAGTTTTTTCATAATGGAAATAGATAATATAGAAGTGTGTGTGTGTGTGTGTGCCCTGAAGCAGGACATGAGGAGGATCTATAACAACTACAGATCCTCTAAGGCCCTCAAGCTCCCCTCCCAGTACTTTGAGCTGAAAACCCACCTCAGGTCAGCCATTAAGAAACTCCAGCATCGCTCTGCAATGGTTCGATGGTCCTATCTAGTCGAGGCGATTAATTCAGGCAATAACAAAAAATTCTGGGACGTAGTTTCTGGTTCCTTCATCTTTAAGAAG